ATTAATTGCTTCAAAGTTTCAAAATCAGACACTTTCCTCAATTTTAAGTAATATTCAGAATTTGTCGTTAATCGCGACATGAACTGCACATGTGACTCATTTAGGTCTTGAGCCCTTTTAAAATTCTCCAAAACAATTTATAGTGTATGTTTGAATTCTTTTAGAACAATAGCTTTTACTTTTTCATAGTCACTTATCTCCTCATCTCTAATGTACACGATAACGTTCGAAGCCCATTCCCGTAACAAGTTTAACAATATTCCGCTTTAGATTTCTCAGGAACATTTTTTGTCGTGAAACTCTTTCTAAAGACGAGAAAATGTAACTCCAGTTTTCAGATTTACTCGGAACCTTCAGTGTTAGTGTTCTTATACTTTTAATAAGGGAATCTAAGGCATCGGAACCTTCTCCTTTAGTTTTGTTTTGATAATTATTATCACTTTTGCTTTTAGCTCGCAGTCGAGAAATTTCCAGTTCTGTTTTAGATCTCTCCAATTTAATTTGTTCTAACTGTAATACTTTAGCTTCTTCAGCTTTACGATGCTCTGCTATGGAATTACCCAACTCTATTACCGAATTTGGATCGGATTTAAAAGCTTCACTACGCTTAATCACTAAATTTAAATCTGTAACCGTTATCTTTTCACTTAATTGTATATTCAGTTCTAAAGCTAATAGCTTATCACTTAATTCTATATTCAGTTCTAAAGCTAATAGCTAAAATCTTCTTTAAGTGCACCTTTTATCAACATTATACTCTTAATACAATAACACAAGATAATAAGTAATTGTTCTCAAATACTTAAACACAGTATATAAATACTATAAATTTTCTCAAAACTCTTACACAGTATCTCTAAATAATAAAATGGCACTTTATTTTTAAATCGAAACTGCTGACTTACTCGTTACTTGTAAATAACTCATAATCCATAGATCTCTGGCCCAGGACGGACCACGATGTTTTGTACAGGCACTATACTATAATATACTTGGGAACAATGGACTGCATTATATCACACTTTTATTCTCATTAATTTATATCTTTTATTACCACTCGAAGCCACAAATTCTCTCACATGCTCTTAACTCACAAACTCTTAAGAGCTCAAAAGTGAATGCGCAAACGCTAGTAATTAAGATGCGTGCGCAGGTGCAACAACTAAGTACCTTTTTTTTTACATGAAGAACATCAAATCAATATTCAATTTCTAAGCATGTTATATTCAGCATCTGTTCAATGATGGTAAGAGTACAAGCAGTTCTTTTCTGGAAAATTACACTTGATCTTAATGCAACCTCAGAAAAGTAAATCAAGAGGTGTAATGTGTGATGATCTTGCTGGCCACAATACTTATCTACCTATGAATGTTATATATAAGAGCTGTTAAGTACATAATCAACAGTATAATGGTGCATTATGTTGCTTTAAATTTGTGGTTGAACATCTTGCAATTGTGATGAAATGTAAAGCTGTGTATCCAAGTAATTAAGATTTAATGAAATTTAATTATTATTATTTTCTCCCTCCTTCCGGCATGCCTTCCTGGTGTAACGGTAGTATACTTGAGGCATATTCGAGAAGTCCAAGTTCAATTCCTGGCAAGGGCATTGCTCATTTTTCATATACTCTTAATTCAAAATAATTTAATGTCTCTACAAATAGTGAAATCAGTAAAAACAAAGAAACATTAATTTTGTTTAACATTATTCTGCACCATACATAGATGTTAGGACTACTCCTATATTACAGTATAGTCCAAGATCCAGACTCGTTGGAACTTTGGTAATTCCAAATTTAGGGTTTTTCTCGATATTATACCATTGATTTAAATCTAGTAAAATGACAAGTAGAAATGATGATATTAACAATATGAAACAGTGATTTATGAAAAAAATGAAGCATATATGATCTTAAAGGAATCAAAATTTACCGCCCCCCTGAAAAAAAAGGCTGAATGTTTATTTCTTTCAGTGGGAGCTGTTTAATTTGCTATATTTTTTTGTGCTTTCTCTTTAATTCTAAAGATAGACATAATTTCTTGGTCCCCCCAAAATTTCCCTTTGCTGTTTTAGCATGGAATGCATGGTACAGCTAAAACAAAACCGAGAGAGACAGAAGGAATGAAGAAAAAACTGGCATGTGTATATGTGGAGATTCCAGAATCCCTTAAGTGTTTAGGGCATCTAATGATCTTAATCCAGCCTTGGGTCCTGTGCAGTTCTAAAATTCTGTGGTTAATTGCATCCCTAAATTCCAAAAATTGTGCCACTCTTAAATTTTGTGTCCTAGTGCCTTCCTTAAATTTTAAAGATCTTGCTATTGCTAAATTCTGCAGCTCTGGCACTAGTCCTGGGCTTATCTAAATAACAAATCAATTATTCTCATTTCAGACATCACTAAATTTAATCTTTTGGCCTATGAGTTTCTTTTACAGAATCTGTTCTTATACATGGAAATAAATTTTTGTTAAATTTTTCCTTGTCAACACACACTTCACAGCAGAGTTAGCTGAGATCTGCTATTATCACCAAGAATGTTATAAAAGGTCTATGCTCTTATGTATTACTAATATTTAAAAAAAAAAAAAAAAAAATTTCGACATCACTGTGTGAGGCATGAGTTGAAATAGTATAAATGCAGTATATTGAAAATAAGTGATGATGAAAGTAAAAAATAATAAATAATGATTTGCCAGATTTGACATCTGTGCCAAAATGAAGTTAAGAATCGAGACTGCCCATATTTTATTACGAAAAAATATCAAATGTCTTTAAAAAGGGGGGGATGCTGTTGATGCATAGGTCCGGATGTCTGGATTGACTATTTTGTGTGGACGTCTGACTTTATATGGCTTTTCTGTGAGCCTTGTGTAGGCACTGCATGTATGTACATTCACTGAAATGTGAAATGTTGATTCAGAAATCTTTGGCCTGAAAACATTCAATTTATACTTAATAAATAATTTACATGCACAATTAACACATAATTTTAAAATAATAGTTAAAAGTTGAAATTATTGTCTAACTTAAGATGTTCATCCTTTACTGGACTTTAAAATTTGAATTTTAAAGTTTTGTGTAAATATAGGTTGTTTTCCCCCGTATCATTATCAATAGAATTTCAATTATGTAGATTTGTTTTCTTTTTAGTTCAGTAAAATTCAGCTTTTTGGTAATTATGTGTCTTTATTTTTTTCAGTAACTTAAATATAATACAGTGGAATATATTTTATTATTTAAGTAAAAAATAATATTTTATGTTGGTAAAAAAGTCTGAATTTTAATTCAATAATAGTAAATTGGGCCTTTTTTTTAAACTCAAAGATTTCTTCTAATAATTTAACATTTAAAGAGGGAATTTACTTGTAATTTTAGGGTCTTAAAATAATAAGAATAAGGATAAATTCTTCAACCTTGCAAATGTACAGGTGGCTGAAACACCAGAATTTCATCCTTGATCATACAGGTATAGCCCCACTGCATTCCCTTTGCATCTCTGTCGTAATTTTGATTGCTCTAAGTAATGGCTGAGGCTCTTCCACCCATCTTCTCCTACCACCAAACCTCTTGTGAGGATATTCAACTTGCCATTATTTTAGTGTGTTCATGCCACAGACATTATTTATTTACAAACGTTCATGCCTTCTCTGGATTTCGAACATGGGTCTATCAGTTCGGCTGCCAGCATCACTAACTGCTATACTGATTAGGATAGGATAGCATATATGGAATAGCTGGCAATTCCTTAATTGAGCATATTCTTCCTTTGATGACATTAACAGCATGTTCTTCCTTGGCTGGCTACGCTCACCAACTGAAGGCATCTGATCCGTAGCTGCCAGATATTGGTGTGACAATGACCAGAAGGAACTACAACAATGTTCTCTGGCAATAAATTTAAGCCTTATGAGCTTAATACCTCAAAACTATCATCCAAAGTATATTTCATTGTTTGCTTTCCCATATAGCAAAAGTTATTTATTGCTCATTGAAGGTCTGTGCAATAACTGATATTAGCACATTCTGCATGTTTGAGCTATCTGAAAAATAATTATAAGATCTATCTGAAATTAAAATAATTTCTTTATTGAATTATAAGGTAAACTTAATGTGAATTTGTTGGTTTTTTTCTCCTTTGTGGTATTGCAGTTTTAATGACTTAAGTATATAGGGTACAATTTGGTTAGAGCAACATCAGTTAAAAATGTGCCCCCCTTTTCTATTTTGTTTTCTGCCAGTTGTCATCAAGTATAACATTATGAAATAATAGAGTTCAAAAGAGAGGAAAATTATTACTTAAGAACAAAGTAAAAAAAAGTAATTTACCCCCTTTCTTTTCTACATTTTTCTTAATCAAGAATATTCTATGTATAAGTAAAACATAACAAAAAAAATTTTCAATCTAAACAGGTGGCATCAAATTATCAATAGCACTCAATATTGCAGAAAAAACTTCAGTTTTTGATTATAACCGATGCCACATAAATTCTATCAAAGATGAGTCTAAATGGTGGCGAGCAGTGCCCCGCTGCATTTAATTCACCGTTTAGCACTGCCCCTTAATTGCTCCGCAGTGCAAGTATGGCATCCAGTTTCAGGGTCTACAAAATTATAAATAATTCGCATTGAAATGCTGATAGCCAGCATTTCTGTTTCTTGTATCCTTTCCAGCAATCTGAAAATTTAATGCTGCAATCCATAATTATGCATAACATATGTTATTGTGTATGTAAATTGATATCTGTTTTTAGTACTGAAAACGAATTAAAATGTGTGAACAATTTAGAAATCCGCTTTGTGTTTCTTTTGTAAGCTGGTAACCACAATTTTCAAATGCCAGTGTAAAATCCTTTTATAATTATGTGTTTGATATAAAAAAGTGTTTATTTTATTTATTTTTTCCCTTTTTCCCAATTAGAATATTTTGCTTGCAATATTTGTGTGACATTTAGAAATTTATCATGACATTAAAATTTAAACCAATGAATTAATTTAAGGTGAGAATGCTGATGAAGAGGAAGTGGAGGGTAATGGGGAAAAAATTCAGAATTTGAGCGAAGAAATAATAGCTGAAGCAAAATCTATTAAATGTGACGAGTAAGTTAACTTTTTATAAAAGAAAAAGTTTTGCTTTGCTCAAAATCTAATGCAATGAATAAATTTTATAAAAAAAGTCTTTTTAAATTTTTTTTTAAATTCTAATTTTGCAGTATTTTTTTAAACTGGCTCTAGAACTCCAATCCTTTCTGAATCCGGTAATCTAGTTAACACATAAGCTGATTTTTTTTAAAATTACTGTTTGTAAATTTTGTAAGTGAAATGGCTATCATGAACTTTCTAAAAGAGGTTATATGTTATTTTTAAAAATAATCTATATTGTGAACATGGATTCATTATAAGAAAAATTAAGGCTTGGTGTTATTTCATATTATGAATCAATGTGTTGGTTTTTCACCTTCTACTGGTCAAGTGAGTAACCAAGTAACAAATTCTACCAAGTGAATAAGAACAAATGAGTGTCCCCACAACATGCTTTTACTTTTTTTTACAATCAATGATGTCTTTCTGTCTGCATATCTCTATGTGTGTGGCAGTTTCATCGCCCACGATAACTGTTATCTGAAAATCCCAACAAATTCTGTTTTCCATATTTAAGCTTTCTGTATTCATATAGAGTTTATTAGGTTTTTGCTAAAATTGATAAACAGGGCGTAATACCTGAACATAACAAAAGTTTTTTGCCAAAAAACGTTCTTAATAAAGTTTAGTGCGGATAGTAATCACCACCCAAAATCTTATACTGAGTAGAGGAATTGTGTGATTGATCTAAAACCAAGTTAAATCAATAAACTCATATTTTTAAGGTCAGTTAACTCAAGCAAAATTCAAATTCATACTTATTAAATCAATAACCTGAAAACAAAGAGGAATAAATCTTCCCTGGTACTTGATGTAATGAGAATGCTATCTCTAAAAAAATAATACCACTTCTTCAAAACACAAAAGCTAAATACTCAGTCAGGTTCATAATTTTCTCCAGAGATAGTAATAATTTCCATAAATTCAATCTCACAATCATCAGAGAAGAAATATTCATACATATCAATCAATCAATCCTTCATGAAATAATAAAATTCAATGAGTTTAAATAATTTCTCAGCAGCTTCAAATAACCAAATAATTCACCAGTAATCGTCCAATATAGCTAGTTGTAATGAAAGCTTTCTGCCAAAAAATGTTCTTAATAAAGTTAGGGAGGGAAAAAAAAAAAAAAACATGAAAGCAGTACTTTTAGTAATCATCATCCAAATCTTTGATTTTCTGCTAACGTTTTGGTAGTTTTTCAAAGCCTTCGGCCAAGAAACTTGGTGGCTCTGAGTCCAAAAAACAGATCCTCATTTCGGACGCCCTCTGCAGAATGAAAGATAGCACCAACAAGATGTAGGTGCAGGTGAGAAAAAAAGGTAGAAGTACGAAGGGGCAATGTTGAGCCTTTATGCGGGGGGGGGGTATAGCAAAAAAGCTCATTTGAGTTCGTGCAGAGTACAGCTGATGCATGCAGACACATGTGATCTTGCGTTATCTTGATGTGAAACATTGCCTTTTTGTGCCAGAACTCAGTTTGATGTTTTCCTTGATAGCAGTGTCAAGACGGACTAGCATCTTGCTGTACACCTTATTCTCAAGGGTTTTACCTTTTTACAGATACTCTTTGTGGATAATAACCATGGCAGTCCCACCAGATACAAAGCATGATCTTTTTGTTAGTCAAATTGCACTTTGAGATACTGCCGACAGGCACACCGGGCACACACCAAACCCTTTTTCAGCCTGTGTTGTGTAAATAAATCCACTTTTCATCACAAGTGACGATCCAGTTCAGAATTTTGTCCTTGTGTTGATATTCGAGCAGATTAGTGCATGCCCGAACATCTCTATCCTTGTCTGCTTGAGTCAGCTCATGCTGCACCCAGTAATTGAACTTGAACAAAAAGTTTATGCAATGCATAGCACGACTAATGAGCATGGCACTAATGTCTTAACTCCTCAGCAAGCTCTTGAGTGATTGCATACTGATCTACAAGTTATTGCAGGTGGGCCTCGTCAACATCAGTAAAGCCGGACAGAGTGCTGTGCTTCTTGAATGTCATTCACATTGTCATATAATACAACTTTGGTATCTAAAGCTGTATACATGATTTGGTGACATTCTGTAGCTGACTTTTTGCAACAGAACTGGAGGTAAATGATGATTCTAATCTGGTAGCATGACAGTTCCATTTCAGACACCTTGTACATAATGGTACCGATTTGTTTTTATAGATTTCACAACACACTCTTCTAAAGCAAGTCTCTTTCTTTCAAACACCAAAAATTGTTTGACAAAATATGATTAAACACGTCAACAAGAACTGTTTGCGCAGACAATATTTGTGGTGTCCGGAAGCTTTGATTAAAACCCAATACTTTACTTGAAGATATGAGCAGACTTTCATAAAAATAGTACACTGTGAGATAATCCAGAATTACTCAGATTTAAAATTTAAAATAGGTATGTGATTGACAGCATGTATTACATTTATAAGAATTAAATGCATTCCTAGAATTATGCCAAATGTAGTGAGAATTAGCTCATTATGAAGACTAGCTGTAACTGTGAAGCAATTAAATGTATTAACCTCAGTCCTCAATTTTGTGCACATTTCACTTTTGTGGCTGCCACCACATGTTATGATGTATTAATAATAATAGCAAACGTAAATCAAAGAGAAAAGAACATGCCAACAATTAGCATTCTGTTGAGAGTTCTAAAGATGTGCTGATATCAAAGATTGTGTGATTTTGTTGTTGTGGTGTAAGCATGAAGAAAATGGTATTTAATTATAGCTAAAATGATAAATAAAAGGGTTTGTCATGTGATTAAAAAACTAAACACTGATATCATAAACTTAAAAAAGATCAAAAAAGAATTGTAGGGCAACCACTATCAGAAGTTCTAATGATATACTGCTTTTAAAATATTTGTGATTGTTTAGTTATTGATTTTCGAATCTGAAACACTATATGACCAGAAGATAACTACAATGAATGTAATAATTTCAAATCAAAACATGAGAAAATCAAAACATTGCGCTGCGGGGTGCAATGAATTGAAAGTTGATCTGTCAGCACTATCCTTATCTTTTGGCGTATAATTCCTTACTAAATGTAGTATTTCATCTCGATGTACTCTTTCTTTGTTATAATTTAAATCAAACTCCTCATCATTATAATTCGCTTCCGATAGTGAAGAAAGTGACACAGAGGTTATTGAAAATAAAAAAATTTCGATTGACAAATTAGTCGGTATTCTCGACACAGCAATTATAGGACTTGAACAGTGGAACTTTGTAACTGAACAAGAAATTATGTCTGCTTATATAATTAAAGAGAAAGTATTATCACATAAAACGAAGCAACTTAAACAACTTACATTGAAAGAAATGTTTAATAAAGTAAAAAAATAAATATTAAGCTTTTTTTTTTTTTTTTTTTCATTGTAAATTTTGATCTCTTTGTACACAACATTTCTTGTGTAGATCTTTTCATCATTTTTAAGCTCACCTTGCAGAGGACCATCAATTATTTTTAATTTTACCTCCGTTCTTTCACGAACTCTTGAACAGGCGACATAAAGTTGACGGTGTCCAAATGCAGGCTGAGGTAAAAAAATGCCAACACTCTTAAGCGTTTGGCCCTGAGACTTATGATTTTACAGGAAATTGTCTACGTCTCAATTGAAACGGCAACTCTGTGCCGTGGCAACTTCACCCCATTGGCTAGTACAGGTACGCAAGCAACCAATAAAATATCGGTGACAAACAGACACTTAAGCCACATATATATATATATGGGTGAAGTAACATCATCTCCGAAACGGCTGGTTCCCAGACTTAGCGAAGCACACCGTTGGATTCCGCAGGTCCGTGGCACGCCATTTTGACCATTCGCGTCTTCTTGGGACTTTAATTAGCTGAGATATTAATTAAAAACTAATTTTCCCCTACGTTTTCTGTACATTTTCCACTTCCTTTCTTGGGTTATGTCTATTACAAGGATTTGGCTACGTGCCAAATTCTTTTTTTCGAATATCTACGGAACGGCGCCAAGTTGAAATTCGATACGCGTATTCTCGGATTCCAAAAAAATTCTCCGATTCCATCGATACCGTTCTCATCTTCGTACAGCTTTAATCGGCCGAGATATTAATTAAAAACTGCGGAAACGTTCATTTCCGCGCTCATTTTTCCGAGTGGCAACAATAAACTATCGGCGACACACACTTTAGCCGCTTATATATATAAAGAATAGTATGAAATTTTTTTCAAAAATGCCTCACAATGCAACCTTCAAGAGATGATGCTACCGCAGCACCAGCATACTAAGAAGCTTTTCAAAAATAGGTGGAGCCACATGAGCAGCTTTGTATCTCCTAAGTTTACTTATCTCTCAACAATAGTATGAAAAGTGACAGTTGAGAGTCAGGAGACGGATTGCGGATGAGTTCGCAGGCGGATTGCACAGGCGGTGTGTAGTGCAAGTCCATAGCCGGAGGCACAGCAGATAAGAAGGAGTGTTTCAAGATTCTTCATTTAGGGATAAGATGACGTCACACTTTGATAAGAGATGATCCTTGAATGATTTTCGGGAGGTTTTTGTTAATCGATGTTTAGCCTTTGTATTTTTCTTTGTATTCCAGTTTTTTAGGACATATTTTATGGTTATTTCCTAGGTACCCTTAACAGCGCATATTTTTGAATTTAATGATTGATACAGAAGACCTTAACTTTAGATGTAAATTTTGAATTTTTCCGTATATTTTAAGCTTTAGTATTTTCTATAGACTCAGAATTTTTCTTTATTTCTCAAATTTTCTGTTCATAATACCAGTTTTACTGCTCTTTATTTCATAAATTATGATTTCATATTTTTAATTTTATAATTTCTGCATGCCATCTGACCAGATTTAAAGTGATGATCTATAATCCGGAAAAATCGATAATCTGGAATCGTCGATGTCCCGATTAAAGACTTTTGACTCTATCAGTCGATCTCACTTCATATTGCAGCATGCACTCGTAGAATTTAACATCATATTAAAATTTTTAAAATTAAAATAAATGAATGTTTTTTATCTCAGTAGCAATACAAAGAATAAAAATATTTTTATAAATATTAAAAATCTTTTAATGTGTAATATTTTAGAAATATTGTGAATACTTATAAAAGGCTAGTTAAATTTGTATTCATTGAAATAATGATAATGTAATTTATATCTACATATAAATTATGATAGGGTAATAATAAATAATAAATATACCCTATCATAAATACATTATGATAGGGTGTTTTTTGAAGCAACAGAAACATTAGTTAGTACTTTTTCATTAAAGCCATACAACACATTTTTGGTATATTTTGGCTTATTTCTTTCCCTTTGTTTTTTTCTCGATACTAGCCATATCAGAACAACCAAGAGCAGCAACCGGGAGCATTGTCTAATTTCACAACAAAATTCTCCAAAAACTTATTGTTGAAGAAGATAGCTTACATTATGTTTCTTTTTGTGAATAAGTTTTTATCAGTTTGTGTAATTTTTTTCACCTTCTTTGATTTTAACATTGGAACAAGATTACAAAGAGTACATACCTTCCTTATATAATTATTCCAATCTATTAGCCTTATTATTGTGTTATGATTCATTTGAAGAAAGCTTTGGTTTGCAAAAATTAACAGATGTCAATTTCTGGCACTATAAGTAAGTGAATTCTGCAGCTGTAATGAAAGAAATGCTTGATACAACAAACTATGTTTGTATTAGGGCATTCTTTTTCTTCCTGGTGTGATGTGCAAAGGCTGAATTGCCATTGTGGCTTCAAGTCACATTTAACTGCATGCAGTTGTTATATGAACACTCTTCGTAACATCTCTTTCTTAAAGAAACAGGATGGGTGCTTTTTTATCTCTTGACCAATTGCGAATATAATAAAATCCATTGCAGTTTAAAAAAGTAAGTAAAATGAAATACAGTTTAGATGAGAAACATGTTTGAGCAAGTGATGGCTATAAAAACCAGAAAATAAATTGAACTAAACTGGTGATGGCTGCTACCAAGCAAGTACGTGAAAACAAAAAAGTGCCAAGTGGTGTGGGTTCCAGGTAAAAGTACCTGGTAGTTTGTGCAAGTATGATTTCAATCTTAATATTACTTTCTATTAACTTGTCAAATAAAATAATCATTAAATTCTTTTCTGTTGAAGTCAATATTAAACTTATCTAACAATTAATTTTGATTAATAACTGAATTTAATTGCTTAAAGATTAAGATAAAAGTTTGCGAATGGTTCTCAACTGTTTTTACCCCGTTCACCTCTGCTAGACAATTATCCCTTCTTTCCTTTCCAAAACTGGAAAAATACATATTCATTTATTTAGATTTAGATTATTTTTAATGTACTTTATGAATTAAACAACTGTAGAAAATTTTTACATATATTCAACAGCTGCAATGCTAAGCTTTATATTATTTTTTTTAGATGCAATCGCAAGTTTCGCACTGACTCTGAAATTGAATTTCATGCCGTAAAAACTGGCCATCAAAGTTTCTCTCAGTCATCAGAAGAAATTAAACCTTTGTCTGAAGAAGAAAAAAAAGAGCAAATAAAAAAGTATTTCTTAAGTGGTTTTACTTTTATTTGAATCTCTATCCTTGCATATTTTGTTACGCTTGCATGTTTTGCTTAAAAATGCTTGCTTTTTAGAGTTCTTTTTTTAGTTGGAATTTTTAAGCTATTTAATACAGTGGTATTCGAAGTATGGGTTGGGGTAACGAAAATTTATATTGGGGTCACAGATGAATAAAACTTCTAAAAAGTCTGATTTCACATGGAGTTGCACTGCCATGAAGTTTGAATACCACTAATTCTCAATGTATTTGCTTGAAAATTAAAGTTGCTATTATGATTAATTATATAGAAGCATTTAATGTTATTTGAACATTATTGAAATTTATTTATATGTTACTGAATGTTATATGAAGCTGTTTGTGAATATTTTACTTCATTTTATAAATTAAAAATAATAGTTTAATTTTTAATGGCGAATGCAAGAAAATATGAAAATATATAGTTTTTATGTTTGTTTTACTTAGGATAGAAAATTTAATCAAACAGCGAAGAGCTGAAAAAGCGGAGCAAGAAAAACGGGAGGCTTTGGAAAAAGAAAAAAATCGTAGGAAGACTGGGCAGGAGTTGACTCATGTGAGACAGAAGTAGGATTTTTTTCTCTCAGCCATATTGTAATTTGGGGATAAAAATATTTAAAATCATCCATTATTTGCTTTAAACCATATACAGTATGCCCACAAAAAATGTATACTGAATTTGAAATGACTGTAAAATCAAAATTTATTAAAATATCTGGTACTTACATGTTATCCTATTGACTTTGAAACTGTCATCAAGCATAATTTAGTGCCAGTTATGGATGAGTATCATGTCGCTACACACTTTTAACATCTGTGCTTTTAATTTGACGTATTTCTCATCAATTCTTGATAAGCCACTTTTGGTTTTTATGAACAGGGATATGAATTAACTATTTACTGCATTTTCAAAGAAATAATTAAAATTTGAGACTTCCCTCCTGCAGAATAGAAAGCAGTGGATTATTTTCAAAGTTATGTAATTTTACTATCAAAGTGTATATTGATGGATATGATATAGTCAGCTGAATATGACCAATAAAATCAAAACAGATTGGATCTACCTGCGTGAAGATTGTTCTCATAGTACTCTAAACAAAGCTTCTGGTAAAATCTTAATCGGTGAGTTTTTTATATAGGCAAAAATGAAGTGAGTTAAATACTGATTGTTTATTAAATAAGACGATATCAGTTCATTCAGAATTCTGCAGGAACATTTGGTGTAACTGTGCTGGAATCTCTGCCAGGTTTCTTGTTTGACAGGATAATATGCAAGTACTGAATATTTTTTTTAATTTATTTTGTGCATACAGTTTCATCAACTTATTAAATATAAGTAAAGTATATTGTTTTGATACTGATATTTAATGATGATGTTTAAAATGATAAAAAAAAAAAAAAAACACTGCTGTTAAACACTAAAAATGATGTTCATTAGTTGTTGGAGATCAGTGCAGAATTTAAGTCTTTGGCCTTATCTGGTTTTAACTTCCACATCAGTAGCAGCTCAGAAGAGCAAAAGTGCAAGAAGTTGCTAATTATGCATTTTGTTATTTATAACTCTTGACTAGTTCCACATTGATGGGCTCTGCAAAAAGGTTTGTTTGTGATCAGCAACTGGATCTGAAACTGGTAGTTGGCTGAAATGTCTCATTGTCTGGTCACAAATGCAGCTCCCTCAACAAAACTCTTATACTACTTCAAAATTGACTTGTTTGTGTTTGGAATTCATGTTAAACATTTGCTTGAAAGCATACTGCACCTAGGATATCTGACTTCAAGGAAGATTAAATAGTCTGACTTCAAGGAAGGTTAAATAGTCTGACTTCAAGGAAGGTTAAATAATAGTTGTGTTTCTTTGGACTCTGTGAAAGAAAAAGTGAGTAATTTTTGTTTTGATAGGCACCAGGAAAATATGTAAACAAAGAGATTGAATAAAGGATTTTTTTTTCCCTTTCTAGTGTTTTCAGTGTAAGAGAAAAATATTTGCTGTTGCTATAATAAGTTGAATCATTTCAGAGACATGGGGACTCAATATAAAGGGAGATTCATTATTTCAAAATTTCAAAAGCAAATGCTCCTTTATGCATGATGTCAGAACAGCCAAAAGGTCTAAAATTAATCAAAGTTGAAATACATAGAAAACAAATTCCTTGTATGAAGTTAGATGTGATACTTTAAAGAAAGTTCCTTATATTAAGTGTGGTGTCATTTTATTGTTAAATTGCCTTTGAATTAATAAATAAATAAAATGTAAACAGACTGTCTACTAGGCTTATTGTTTCTTAACAGTCATTTCATCTGATGAACTGGGTCTAGTGTTAAAAAATATATGTCAGTCTGTCTCAAGGCGAAATTAGGAAAAGTAGGGTAAAAAAAAATCTGATAAGTATAATTAAAAGAATTATTCCCCTTACATTTTATAATAACTCAGTTACAAGTTTTAAATAATACTTAAAAAAAAAAAAAAAAAAAAACGTATTTTATTCCCTTTTAGAAATGTTCGGAGAAAGTCAAGTACTATTTAAAGTATTTCATTAATTCCTAATAATTCTTTAATTTAAAATGAACCGAAAATTATAAATTGACTTACATTTTTCGATTTAAAAGATGTCTCAGAAACCAAAAAATCTTGTCATATTTAAGAAAGTATTTTAGGAAGAAGCTCTATAAATAGAAAAGAAATAATGCATAATTTTAATATTAATAATACAATAAACTTTGATCTTAATTTTTGTACCTTAATAAAATCGAATTACCTTAATTTTTTTTCTAATGTAATTAACAAAAACTTGTGAAAATATTTCATTCAAATTAAACCATTCTGAGAAAACTGTCCTGTGAAAAGTATAGCATTTAATTTCATTCAGAATGAAATGTTGTTTAAAAATATGTTGTTTTCACATACTTAGGACTCTGAAGTGTTGTAGAAAAAGAAAAATATATACATTTATATGTATATTTACAATGTGATTACAAAATATTTACATCCGAACGCGTCAAATCCCATTGAACTCAATGGTAAATGACCCAATGTTTTGGTCACCACGTAGGGATCGCCGGTGCTTCAGAGCAGGGTACGGGAGAAACTTGCTTAGGGCAACTCCATCTTACTTCCTACCTCCATGAAAGGAGTCTTGACGTGATGGGGGGGGGAGAAGATTGAAAAGAAATAGAGTATGGAGGATAAAAGTACAAGGTGTGCTAATATGAACTGAGTTTAATCGGTAAGATGAAGAGATTGGCTAAAGCGTTGTATATTGGTTTGATACTGATATTTAAGAAAAGACTGATTTATAGAAGTTCCTATTCCGATGGTGATAAAGTGCTTTAGTCTACTGATATTTAGAAGAGGCAGTTTCCTGAGTGTCTTTGAGGTTTTCTGCTTGGGATGCTCAACATCTGGCTATGCCGATTATGCAGGTGATGTGTTTCTGTCTATGATGTGTTGACGAATTCTGTTGTTGCTCCACAGGAAAAGAAAAAAATCATAGACTGGTCAGGAGTTGACTCTTGCAGCAGAAGTAGGATTTCTTCCTGTGTTGACAACTCCTGTCTACTATGCAACAAAATACTAATTTTATGACTCCTTGAATGATGATCAATGGGAATGCTGTTTATCATTTAATGTGTGATGAAGGAAAAAGATAGGACTGTGTGAATTCCAGCATTAGGAGATTTAGAGTCTCTAGTTCCGACTGTAGCAATTCTGTGATAACCCATAAGTTGTGTTCCTGACTATGATTTATTAGGAAGAGACTCTCTGAGACTGATATTTGGCCTGATAGAGAGAGTAGATCTACATCAAAGAAAGAGGACAGTGTATTGTACTTTTTCTTAAGTGGAGTGTTTGAATAGGTTATCCCCCAGCATTATGTAATTTCCTTCCCTAAAGATAGCTAATGTAAGTGCCATCTTCTCCTCCTGGTTAACTTAACGAAGTGGTTCATGGTACAAAGAGGGACAAAGTACAGTACAAATTCTGAAATCCGGACTCGTGGGGGCGTTTTTGTACTAATACTTTCTCTTTAATTCTATAGGCAGACATAATTTCATGTTCAGTTACAAAGTTCCACTGTTCAAATCTTGAGGTTGTTGTGTCAAGAATTCTGACTAACTTGTCAATCAAAATTTTTTCATTTTCAGTGACTTCTCTGTCATTTTCTGCACTATCGGTAGCGGTATATTCTGAATCTAGAACCATACTACAGATTTCGCTGTCCATTAATTGATTGATGATTGGAGCATTGTGATCGCAATGAAAAACGTTATATCATCTTTATTTATTACTGCTTCTCCATATTTCTTTACAAATTCCATTAAATGGAAAATTTCACATGCTGGTTTGCAATATCCGAAAGCCTTCAAATTCGTGGCTGTCATCTTCATTATCCTCACCATGAAATATGGTAGGGGGCCATGAATTATGCCAAGCATTTTTTAAAGTATCTGGATTAGATTTATCACAGCAGATTTTACGCTAAAATATTAAAAACAAATTCTTGAAAAATCTTGCCAATACTCAAGAAATTTAACATGGATTTTAAAAATGAGACTTTTTATTTATTTTTCAGCACACACAATATTCCGATATCCATAGGTTGAATAAAAGGACTTGGAGGAAAGAATAACACAGATATGTTAGCTTTCATATGTTAGCTTCACTTAAAGTTTTAAGTGAAGTATGAACTGGACAATTATCTACAGTCAGGACAGTTTTGACGTTATCAGGTAAATCAACCAAATTAAAATTTTGCCGAGTCTCGGGTATGAAATTATTTTCATATGAATCATGCATTAACGCTTGTATCATCTGTGCTGTTTTATTTGCGTGATATATAATTGGAAAACCATTACTCCTTTAAATGTTCGAGGTCACATATTTTTTCTGATTACGAAAACTTTACACTTGTGCTTTCCTGCACCATATGCGCCTGCTAAAATTGTTAGTCTAGCTTTGGATTCTTTGATACTAGTTGGAGCCTTTTCTGTAGAGGTTGCCAAGGTATTTTGTAATACATATTGCCAGAAAAGACCAGTTTCATCAATGTTGTAAATTTGTCTTGCAGATACTATTTCACTATTAATGAGTTCAAGGAATTCTTTTGCAACTAGTTCAGCAGCTTTACTACCAGCTGAAGCATTTTCAACTGAAATTTTTAACTGCATTATACCACAGCAATTTTAAAATTTCGTTAACCGGTCGATCAAATATGTGCACTCAGTTTTTAAGTTCATTTCTTCATGAAATAATATGTCTCTAGCCATTAGCATTAGACCCATCAATAGCATGCCCTCACTGCATCTCTGTCTAAGCATTTAATCATTGCTTTGTAATGATTGTCACATTTAGCATAGCAAATAATTTTTCTGTTACTCATTGCGAGTGGGGTGTCGGAATCTACGAAAATTTATAAAAGTTCCTTTTCCTGTTTTGTCATATACAGTTGACTTTCCAATGCTGCTCCTTGCATAATTTTGAGATGGATATAGCTATATCCATTTTTTGCAGCAATTCCACTTTTTGTGTAATGGACATTGAAACAGGCTTTCAGTTTGTAGATACTGTTGCAGCTCCAGAATTAGAAACTCTTTTTGACATGAACGAAAGTTCAAGCTCAAAAAATAATAAGATTGATCAAGTCAGGAAGTTAAGAAGCAGCACAATCTGCTATAGTAACTTAAATTCTTTGGAATCAGTAAAGTATAATTTTAGCCTAGTGTAACAGCGTCCACTATGATTGGCTATGTAGCTTGGCTGCGAAATGTTCTGTTAAATTTTGCCTTGCTTCTATCATGCACTGAGACAATTAAGCCTGGATTGTGTATTAATTTAGTTATTTATTATACTTGCATCTACCGTATTTTTCGCCGTATAAGACGCACCGGCATATAAGACGCACCCAATTTTAAAGGAGGCAAATCTAGAAAAAAAAGATTATGAACCAAATTCTGTAGTAAAATATTTTATATCAACTGTATAAAGTTAACAGCAGTTTAAGAAAAATTTTATGTCAACCATGTAGCATACTAAGAGCTATCTTTACTCTCATAAACAGTCAGCAAACGGTGAAAGTAACAAAAATAAGGCTGTCATGTTTTTATTCTAACCCCAAGAATTCCTCTTCTTCGCTGCTATCAGAAATGAGGAAGGACAGATCCACGCAGTCATTGTCATCACTTTCTTCCTCACTGGTGTCAAATAAGACGTCGTCTTCTGTTCCATCCAAGGCATTACCAATGCCATACTTCTTGAATGATTTTACAACAATGTCTTTCTTTACGGAGTCCCATGACCTTTTAACCCATTCACACACTTCTGTGATAGTGGGCCTCTTCATCCGTCCAGTAGGAGTCAGATCATGGTTCCCAGCTGCCATCCAGGTGTTCCACTCCTCTCGCATCAGAACTTTGAACGGTTTGTTAATAGAAACGTCCAGAGGTTGCAGCTGACTGGTAAGACCGCCAGGAATCACAGCTATTTGGGTCTTAACTTCCTTAAAGTTCTTTTTAGTAGTTTCTGTAATGTGTGCTCTGAACTGGTCAAGCACCAACAAGGAAGATTTCTTCAGAAGCCCGCCAGGATGTTTGGACCACACTTTGTCAATCCACAGCCTCATGCCATTTTCGTCCATCCACCCTTTATCATGAACGTGCACAATGACTCCCCGTGGAATTGTTTCTTTTGGGAATGTTTTCCTTTTAAAGATCAAAATTGGCGGCAGTTTGGTACCATCTGCACAGCAGGACAGCACAACCGAGTAGTGGGTTTTCTCATGCCCTGAGGTTTTTACGGTTATGCTTTTGGCTCCTTTGTTATCTACGGTTCTGTTAGATGGCACATCAAATGTTAGCGGGACTTAATCCATGTTCCCAATCTGGCTCATTTCAAAGTTATTCTTCTTCCTCGCATCAATAACAAACTTATGAAAAGACAGAATCTTTGATTCGTATTCCTTTGTCATTTTTTGTGCAGTTCTGGTTTTGGTGCGCATAGAAAGGCCAGATCTCTTCATAAATCTATAGCACCATGATGGTGATCCGGTGAAATCCTAAATGCCTTTCTCCACAGCAATGCGTTTGGCCTCATAGATTATCATTTTTGTTGAGACAGAAAGTCCATTTTGCCGGTGACGTGTGATCCACTCCTTTACTTACTCTTTTAACTCTGGCCACTTTGCAGTTGGTCCACGCAAGGTGTGCTTGCTTTTATCCAACTTTTGGAGCTGATCCTCCTGTTTTCCTCCACTCTCTTATCATTTTCTCAGTTGGAGGTGGCCCAAAGTGTCTCTCCGCTGCTCTGTTTCCATGCTCCTTAGCAAATTTTATTACTTCCAGCTTGAAAGCAACTTTATATGCCAGTCTCTTCTGCTTCGACATCTTGATGGGGTGGTATGAAATATGATATATTTCATTCAGATATACCATACTACATATATCACAGCTCACAGCTATCCGTGCCTCCGCTTGCTCCCGCACTGCGATTGGCTGAGCGAAGAGACGCGTGCCTTCACCCGCTCCCGCGCTGGCTTACGAGACTCTAAAAAGTGCACAAAGCCAGCGCGGAAGCGAGCGAAGGCACGCGCCTCTTCGCTCAGCCAATCGCAGCGCGAGGCAGAGACCGTCCAAATACAGTGCGAGGCAGAGCGGGGCTTCCTGGTCTCAGATGGCGCCAAGAGGTGGAAGGGAATGGAGTGGCCGAGTATTACTGCGGTAAGGTATGTATGCAGAGGTGGAGGGGCAGCGGAGGGCCATGGTGGGCTTTTGTATTTGCCGTATAAGACGCAGGCACTTTCCCCCGATTTTGGGGAGAAAAAAGTGCGTCTTATACGGCGAAAAATACGGTAATTCTTGCACATGTTTAAGGCTTACTTGAGTCTTGAGTAAATAAATTCCTACATATACTTAATTAAGCTTACTGAGGGCTGGTGCTAGATATTTTGCCACCTGATGCTGTCTCTGTGGGTCCTAAATTCTTCTACCAAGCATTCTAAATTTTTGCCATCCTTTAATTTTGGGTCCCAGTGCTTTCCTTAAATTCTAAAAATTTTATCATCCCTTAATTTTGTTATTAATCGATGAGTGCTTCCCTAAATTTTGCTGCCCGGTGCGGCCATACGAGCTTTGGCACCGGTTCTGGGTTTATGTGAATGAAAAAACAGTTATTCTTAATTCAAAAAGCACTAAATGTAATCTTTTGGCCTATGAGTATCATTAACAAATCTATTTTAGCATATGGAAATAAATTTTTGTTAAATTTTTCCTTCTCAACATTTAACTTCAATCTGTAATCAGCGCCAAGCGTAATTTCAATATAAAAGGTTTCCATATTCTTTATTATTTAATTACTAATATAAACAAATTGTTTAGGGATCACTGTACGAGTCAAGTTGTCACATGTTGATATACATACAATGATGAAAGCAAAATATTATAAATAATGATTCGCCTGGTTGGTGTCGGTGATATAAAATATTAGGTAATATATTTGAGATGTATATATGCCAAGCAGATACGTAGTTATGGAACCAAATTATTGATCACACAAATTTATGCTAAAATGATTGTTTCTTCAATAACGAGGTGTTTTATTTAGTGAAGTGAAATTAAGAATTGGGATTCTCCACACGTTTTCTTATGGGGGGGGAATCAAATGCACATGCCTAAAGCATAAAATTTCCTTAAAAAAATTTGTTGGTGGCTTTACAGTCTGGTTATTGGACGTCCGGATCTCGAACTTTATACTGTATATGTAAATATATTTTTAAATATGCTGAATGCTTATAAATATATTCTGTTACAGAATTAGATACATTGTTTGAAATTCAATTAGAAATAGAATGCCTGGTTAGTGCTACCCTCTAGGAGGTATTAGAACAAACAAAAATAAAAACTCAAACAAGTAAACATTTAGAAAGCGTTTTAAATGTTTAAAAGTTTTAAAGTGTAGAAGAATGCTTGAAGCGTGTTACGGCCGCCCTGCAGAAGTTTCATTTGAACGCACTAGTCACGTTATGGACGATGAAGAAGTTAATAATAAGCTAATTTTAAGCCAACAGAAACAGAAAAAATCTGCTTGGAAAAAGTGAGGCTTATCATAAAAGGCTTTACCTCTTGTTGACACCCTAAGGGTCTTAAGGGAATAATATAGCTTTTTTTACTTTTGCAATTTTTACTGCCATATTTAATTAATTAATTTAGCAAATATTATTTTAACTCCACTTTTATGTTAAATTTGCAATACTTTTAATTTGCTGAATTTATTATATATTATTTTCTTATTTTTCCTGTGTGCCTGTTATAGATTGCAAGAAGAGGAAATTAAACATTTAGCTGAAATGAAAAGAAGGGAAAAACTAGAAGCCAAACTTGCACGGTAAGTACAGAATTTTTAAAGTTGCATATAAAATATCAACAACTTTGACAGAGAGTAATTTCTAATAATAAACATTTACTTCAAGCATACTATTAGCCAAGTAGTTAAGACCATTGAACATAGATAACTTCAGCCCATGTGTGAGATAAAAGTAAGCTGATTGAATAGGTGTTCTAGTTATTTCCGCATTTGTTAAAATAAATATGAAGGAGTTTCCATTGTAAGGGTGTTTACATAGGCTTCCACCTGGGTAGCAGTTTTAATGGATTCTAGAAACATTTTAACCATCTGTCCATTGTTTTACATAGTCTGTTTTGTAGGTTTGTGTATTTTATTCAGTTAAAACTGTTAAGTAATATATTTTCTGTCTTAAATGTAATTTTGAAAATATTGGATTTTTGTATGTATTTTTTGAAAAATTTGAAGGCTAAAATCTGAAAATATCAGATAAGTACATATTTAATATTTCAGTGTGTATTTTTCATTCTTTCTTGAAAAACACTATGGTATATATATTAGATATGGCCAAACTGTGGGCATTTGTCTTTTAAATGCAGGTTATAAGCAATAAGTTTATTAAATTGTAATTTGAAATAGAAGTTGTACTCAGGTGCACTTTTTTAATAAATCAGTATGTAGATTTTAAAAGTATGCTTGTGTACAGTAAATTTTTAGGCATTTTCAAACTGGCATGTAATTATAAAAGTTATAGTCATAAGGCAAATAATTTTTTTTTTTTTGCGTCGCTTACTATCCTGGCGACAGTACTTTTATAAGATATAATGGCAGTTCAGAAAGTAAAAATAAAAGATGTTGGATTATTATGCTATATTAATTATGTGTTTCAAATTTGACTTGAACAGTAATATATATATATAAAGGTAAAAAAGAAATTCTTTATGCTATTGCTTAGAAGCAAATGTGTTACTGTGGTTCCTGTGTAAAATTTTTTAACACTATGTAAAAATAAATCGTATTACAAAAAGTTTAAATACAAGAAATATGAAATACTAAGCTAGAAAACTGACAAATGAAAAGTGAATGTAAAATTCAAATCAAATTTAAAAGTTAAAAAATATTGATTAAAGTTTAAACAATCTTAAAACATTTTAAAATTACCACAAAAATTATTTAAAACACAAAATTACTAAGTAGCGGTAAATGGTAAATTAGCCTAATTCGATTCTCATTATCGAGATTCAAATTGTAACAAGATTCAAATTAGGCTATTCAAGTCAAATTTAAAACACATAGTTATATATATATATACAGTCAAAAGTCTTTAATCCGGACTCATCGGGACTTCAGCGATTCCGGATTATCGGATTTTCCGGATTATAGATCATCAGTTTAAATCTGGTAAGATGGCATGCAGAAATTATAAAATTAAAAATATGAAACTGTAATTTATGAAATAAAGAGCAATTATGATGTAAAGGGTATCAAAATTTACAAAAAAAAAAAGCCTAATATTTATTTGTTTACTTTATTAAACATTTCTTTCATGCGCTCATGCTTAAAGCATACATTATGCATAGTCGAAATTAGAAAATTGCAACCAGAAAACTATTTGATATGTATTCGCGATATTTATGATGATGAGGAATTTGATTTAAATCGTATCAAAGATGGAGTACATCGAGATGAAATACTACATTTAGTAAGGAGTTAAGCCGAATAAAATAAAAACATCTGCCCTGAAGATAAGGATAGTGCTGGCAGATCAACTTTCAGTTCATTGTGCGCTGCGTCGTTTCCACTCCCCCCCCCCAGAGCAGCGTGAAATTGATAAACATATTTCGGAATGATTAGAGAAGCAAAGGATATTCCTTTATCCATTTTTGCAGCAATTCCACTTTTTGTTTGATGGACATCGAAACATCCTTTCGCTTTGTAGATCCTTTGGTAGCTCCAGAATCAGAAATTCTATTTGACATAATCAAAATCTCAAGCTGTCTTTTATAAATTTGCTCTAACAGTCTGCAAAAAATAATAAGCCGGATCCAATTAGAAGATTAAGGAACAAAGCAATCTGCAACATTAACTGAAATAGATAATTAGAGCTTAGCTTATACCGTCCGTTATACATTAAACGCTCATGCGTTAACGCATTATGCTTGATGCATGCACAGAAAGTTTTTAGCTTTGAGGTCCGGATTATAGATCATTCCAGATTATGGACATCCGGATTAAAGACTTTTGACTGTATTTGTATGAAAAAAATCTATTGGATGTTCCAATTTAATCTAAAAATGAATTAAATAATTTAGGCATAGGTTTATTAAGAAACTAAATAGCTATTTTTTTTTATGCAAGATACTGAGAAGTTTAAACTTTTACTGAAATAAATGCTGTACAGAATCACATTTATTATCTTTCCAGAGATGTGTGCATACAAAATTAAGAATTAAAAAAAAATTGCTCTGCTTTTCAGATTACTGCACTATTTTTCATTCAGATGAAAAGCTTCGTACCCAATTCTAAAGCCCACTGCATGCTTCTCTCCCCCCCCCATTTTTAGGATATTCCTATTAAAACCAGTTATGATAATGTGCATTATAACATAACATAATATTGCTTGAAATAATTTTGCATCTTTTAAAATTGCTTTGTAACTTAGGCAAAAAGTTTTGGATGAGATTGAAAGAGATAAGCAAGCAAGAAGAGAAAAATTTGGTATGGGTGGCTCTGCTACTGCTACAACTGCTGTCCCTGTGCCAGTGCAGACAACTGTCACTAATTCCGTTCCCAGCCAATCATATGATGAATGTAGACTCCAGGTACTGCATATTCTTTGTAACTAGAGTATAAGATTGGTAAGGATGTAGCATGAAATCTACCACTTTTAATTAGCTATTATTATCATAAGTGATGAATGACCTTATTAGGGAGGGGCTAGGTCAATTAGGATATAATCATCAAATCATTTATTATCTGCTGAAAGATCTTTGACCATCGTGCAGTCAGTGCTAATATTTAAACAATTCAATCATGCTGATGAATTTTGAAGCTTGATGTTGTACATAACATATGGAGTACTGCACTGTAAATGTTTCCACGTTATCTTGCGTAGACATGGTGGAGATTCATTAATAAAAGCAATAACTACTTTTTTGGCCACTCTGTGACATTTGTAATGAATATGGCTGAACGACTCATAAAAGCAGCCCTTTTAAGCACCACATCTGCTTAGTTTTCAAAAATTGTAAATAATTTAAATTTAATAGATTTAAAGTTTAATAGGTTATTAAATTAGTTAATGGAAACATTTTTATTTATGTATTTTTAGTTACTTGTATTTACTTTCATATTTATAAATAGCATTTTAAGAGGCACCATCTATTAAATAAATAGCTAACTAAAAGTGGCAGATCACATGCTACATCATTATTGAAAGATTGACATGTCTTAACCGCAAACTGTCATAGGTACATAAGTGTCCTTTAATGAGCAAAAAGAGTGGGATGAGAGAACTAAAAAACTCATACTTTTGCATAAATTTTGACAAAATAGTTTTGTTGAAAACAAATGTAAAGGAGAGAATTTTATGTTCTCTCCTTTACATATTAATCCAGTTAAATATTTTCTACATTTTAGCATCTTTAAAAATCCATTTATAAATTAGTATTGAGGTAAAAATTTGTTGCTATAGAGTGGACTCTGATTTTTCGATAATATGTACTTTTATGAATTATTATACTGGTTTTGAACCTTTTCATGGCCTTTGTGAATTTATAAAATGGATACCCATTGTGTAGCAGCAAAAATACTATTTTTTGAAATCATTTGATTTAATAAGGAATTCAGAGCTGCATAAAAGTGTCCTTTAATGCCTTATGTATTATTATTATTATAAGGGCACAGCTCCAATCCTCCTAGCTGGCACAAGCCAGCCATATGATCAAAAAATGAAGAAATTAATGACCTTGTGAAGAAATTAATGACCCTTTAAAGAAAATATGAATAACCATTAAAATATGTAAAATCGCCTTCATGTTGGGTGTTGTTTTATATTTTACAGTTAAACTTTTGTCATAAGATTGATAATTGGAAATTAAGAATATATGATGTTTAACTTTTAAGCCTACAGTACATTTTGCAGCTAGAAATCATAGTTGAATTTTTTTTTTTTATTTCATACTGTTGTTCGTAATAGGATGATTTAAACGTAATAGGATGATGTGTAACGTGTATACAAGCTAATTTTCCTTAGAAAGTTCTCCACAAAGGCATCTCTTCCCTTAGGCAGATAGCCCTCGAGGCTTTGCCATAATCACACACACACACACCATGGAGGCTAGAATAGCCCCCATGTACTCTGTTCTAATGTAAGATTGTCTATGTAAAGAAAGAAAGGTTCCATAGACGTAATGTAAATCAGTTTGTTAGAGTGCCGCTAGAAAGCGAAGGGAGAAACTTGCCAAGGGATTTGGCAATGGAACCTGATGGCGAGAATTATCCCCTCCGTGAAATGTGCTTAGGAAATTGTGGAGCATGTGTTAAGAAGAAATGTTCTTTGACTTTCACAATAATTTATACTCAAACTTTCGTATTTTTTTATGCTCAAAATAGCTAATCTATTAATTAATTTACTCGCGCAAAATATATTTTCTTTTCCTTTAACCCTTTGACGTGCGGTGGTCGTGCCTTGAAACCACCAATTTTCGAAATTTTTCCCGCTCTTGTTTCCAAACTGTTTGAGTGAGAACCGATTGATTACTTATCTTTTACCTCTAAATAACGCAAAATTACTGCAGAACTGCACATTTTTTAGGTCTTAGTATTTTAAATCGGATGCCTTTTAAAATTCATTTTCAGTGAGACAAAATAACTTCCTTTTATTTATATTAATAACTTAAAATTTCAAAATTTTTTTATTGCACATCATTATTTCTATCATAAACAATAAAAATACAGCAATAATTAAACTGCATATATAAACAACCTGTGTATATTTATGGTATTTCCTTTGTGGTTTCAGACATAAAGACCACTGCCCCAAAAAACAAAGACCAAAGACCACTGCCCCACTAGAGCATTGCGTTACAATGCTCACATTCCCCTAGAGGCTCGGTGGTCGCGCCCAAAAACCACTGCTCTTTACAGTGGTGTTTGCTGCTTTAAAACAGAAGTGTTTATTTTCACCCGGATATAGATAAGGGGTTTTGAAAACACAGAGTTATTGTATTACCAAACAATACATGCACCTGCCCCTATAAAATATTTTTCGTTTCCAGAGATTTTTCTCTGCATTCAACATGCTTGCTTTCTATGCTAGTACTGTGATTTTCTAAATTATTTTGTGTGGTTCCAAAAAGTTGCAAATATATTTTTGAATAATTAAAAATAGAAATTGCACAAAAATTTAATTTTGTCAATATTTTATTTTCACTGAGATTCAAAATGCCTCGCAAAGGGTTAGAAATAGCTGATGCATTAGCGTTACTTGAAGAATTACCTTCAGATCTAGAATCAGTGGTCTCTGAGGATGAAAGTGACGGAGAAGGAAATACTCCTTTACCCCCCTTCCCTCCTGCTTATGGAAATATAGAAGATGAAAGTGATGATCAGTCAGAAAATGCTGATATAAATTTACCAGATCCTTCCAGAATTGCAGATGTAACATGGAATAAAATGCAGAATGTAGTTAAATCCATTCCCGAATTTTCTGAGGATTATGGCCCAACTGACGAAATTACCTCTATGGAAGATGCAAAACCCCATGGATATATTTATGGCTTTTTTTACTCCTGAATTCATGGATAAATTAGTTTTTAAAACTAATTATTAGTTTTTAAAACTAATTTATATGCAACTCAAAAAGGTAAGCCGTTTTCACCTATAACTCTTCAGGATATGTTGAAATTTTTAGGGATAAATATTCTAATGGGAATTAAAAAACTCCCAAGCTATTGGGATTTCTGGTCAACTAATGAAATGCTGAATGAATCTTACATGGCAAAGCAAATGGCGGTAAAGAAATTTTCATGGATTTTAGGTAATTTGCATTTGAATGATAACAACCTAATGCCAAAAAGAGAGGACAAAACTTTTGACAAACTTTATAAAGTTTGGCCTCTATTGACTCATTTGTTGGAGAGATTCGATAGTCTCTTTAGACCAGGAAAAAATCAGGCGATTGACGAATCAATGATTCGTTTCAAAGGTAGAAGTTCACTAAAATAATACTTACCTAAAAAAAACAATAAAACGAGGATATAAAGTATGGATGCGTTGCGATGAAAGCGGGTATGCTTGTAAATTTGAAATTTATACTGGCAAAACCCATGAAGTCGAAAAAAATCTGAGTGAAAGAGTGGTAAAAATGCTAAGTGAGCTCTTGTATGGTAAAAATCATAGAGTATGCATGGACTATTATTTTACATCCTATGAACTTTTTCAGTTTTTAGAAACGAAAAACGTATTTTGTTGTGGAACTGTAAATATAAAAAGAAAAACCCTTCCCAAAACACTGATGGAAGATAAGAAATTAAAAAGGGGTGACTTCGATTGGGCAGTAAGTGATGACAAAATAACATGTCTAAAATGGAAAGACAAAAGATGTGTTACCATTTTATCTAGCCTAGTTGATCCCGTTATTCCATCTAATGCAGAAAGGAAAGAAAAATTGCACAGAAAGTTCAGATACAATGTCCAAAGGCAATTATAGATTATATAAAAATGTGGGATATGTGGACTATTTTGACCAACTAAAAAGCTTATATGAAATTGATAGAAAAAGTAAAAAAATGGTGACATCGAATCTTCTTTCATTTTATTGATATCATCATTATAAATGCCTTCATTATATACCGAATGCTTCCAGAAAGTGACCCCAGTTTGAAAATACTCAAGTCTTTCAGAATGAATATAATCAGTGATATGATACGAATGAGAAACGAAGAATCCGTATCAAAGCGAAAAAGATCAAGCCTGCCTATCAACATAAAAAACCGTAAATTTTATGTGCTAGATGAAAAACGATTAAAGAATGCAGGACATATGCCAGTAAAATGCAAATCCCGGCGGTGTACATTTTGTAGCACAAGGGAGAAACCTCATAGAACAAGATATATGTGCGAAACGTGCAGTGTTGGCTTATGCATGTACCAAAAAGATTAAACATGCTTTGAGCAGTTTTATAAAAAATAACTTAGTTCTTTGACATTAAAAAAAATCACTGAGTTTTTTAATACTCTATTGAGTTTTTTTAATCTATTTATCCCAATTTCCTTATTATGTACGTTCTTATGTTTTCACTGCTGCAGAAAAATTACATAAATTATAATTTTTTTCTGATTATTTACTTTGTAAAATAAAGTAAAAAATTTACATTTGATGCAATTTTTAAATGCTGTTTTTTTTATTTGCAAATTTCGTCATTCATTGGAAATGCGTACGGAGAAAGGTAAGTTGTTTTTTCCTACTAACTCAGTAAGTTTCAAAGTCATAGATGCCCGCTGGTTTCACAGCGAAACCATCACCCGCAGATTAATGGGCGAGAGTAGATTTTTTTAAATTCATATATTATTTGTCTCTAGGATCATAATATTCGATTTCTAGTGTTTTTAGTTTAAAAAAAAATTATAAAATTAATATAGCGCACATCAAAGGGTTAAAGTTTAAGGAAATTAAAAATGATATTTGTTTTATGCACTCTTGATAAACTTGACCTTTGAACTTCGCGAACTTCGGCGACATATATTTCGCGCATATGCAGCTGTTTCCCTCTACATTGAGACGGAGCCATTCCTGTTGCAGAGAAGTTTTTTTATCTTAA